GTATGCAGGAATCAGATTGACTACATCTGTGGCAAGAGGCGATGGAAGAGCTCAATATCTTCAGCTAAAACAAGGCAAGGAGCTGATTGTGGAACAGGCCATCAATTGCTCATACGAAAAGTTGAAGACAATTAAAACAAGTCCTTGAGAGCCAAAATATGACCTTGAATATATCCCTCATGAATTTAGAGACCATCTATACAATAGATTTGATGCATTGAACACCAATGACCGAAAACCAGAAGAATTGTAGGATGACATCAAGAGCATCATCCATGAAGAAAGGAAGAGGTCATAAAAAATGTGAGAAAGAAAGAAAAGACCAAAATGGATGTCAGAAGAGACTACAAAACTTGCCCTTGAACAGAGAGTAGCTAAAGGAAATGGAAGAAAGATAAAAGAACTGAACAGAAGATTTCAAAGAGCAGCTTGAGTAGACAAAGCCAATTACTATAATGAAATGTGCAAAGACCTGGAGTTCGAAAACCAAAAGGGAAGAACATGCTTGGCATTTCTCAAACTGAAAGAACTGAGGAAAAAAATTAAGCCTCGAGTTGTGATACTGAAAGATTCTATGGGCAAAATATTGAATGATGCAGGAAGCATCAAAAAAAGATGGAAGGAATACAGAGTCACTGTACCAAAAAGAACTGGTTGATCTTCATCCATTTCAGGAGGTGGCATATGTTCAAGAACCAATGGTATTGAAGAAAGAAGTGGAAGCTGCACTGAAGGAATTCATGAAGAACAAGACTTCAGGAATTGATGGAATACTCATTGAAATGTTTCAACAAATGGATGCCTTGCTGGAGGCACTCACTTGGCTATGTGAAGAGATTTGGAAGACAGCTTCCTGGCCAACTGACTGGAAGAGATCCTTTTTGTACCCCTTCCAAAGAAAGATGATCCCACAGGATGTGGAAATTATCGAACAGTATCATTAATATCGCATGCAAGTAAACTCTTACTGAAGATAATTAAAAAACAGTTGCAGCAGTATATTGACAGAGAACTTCCAGAAATGCAAGCTGGATTCAGAAGAGGACATGGAACGAGGGATATCATTACTGATGACAGATGGATCTTGGCTCAAAGCAAAGAATACCAGAAAGATGTTTACTTGTGTTTTATTGACTATGCAAAAGCATTTGATTGTGTGGATCATAACAAATTGTGGATAACATTGAGAAGAATAGGAATTCTAGAGCACTTAATTGTACTCATGAGGAACATGTCCATAGACCGGGAGGCTGTCCTTTAAACAGAACAAGGGGTCACTGCACGGTTTAAAATCAAGAAGGGAGTGCATCAGGGTTGTATCCTTTTACCATACTTACTCAATCTGTATGCTGAACAAATAATCTCAGAAGCAAACAATATGAAGAAGAATGTGGCATCAGAATTGGAGGAAGAATCACTAACCACCTGTGGTAAGCTGATGACACAACTTTGCTGAAAATGAGGATGACTTGAAGCACTTACTGATGAAGACTGAAGAATACAGTCTGCAGTATGAATTGTTGTTGTTATGTGCCGACGAGTTGGCCTGACACGTAGCCCTTGGTTTTGTGAGGCAGTATCCTTGGGTTTGTGAGGCAGTATCACTGTGGAAGTAGATTTCCCAGCCTTCCTTCCAAGGAGTGCCTGGTGGGTTTGAACCACCAGCCTTCTGATTAGCAGTCAGGTGCCTCAGGTACTACGCTACCACAGCTCCTGCAGTATGGATTATATCTCAATATAAAGAAAACAGAAATCCTCACAACTGGACCTATAACAGAATCACAATAAATGGAGAGAATATTGAGGTTGTCAAAGATTTCACATTGCTTGGTTCTACGGTTGACACCAGTGGAAGCAGCAGTCAGCACATCAGATGACGTATAGCAGTGGGCAAATCGGCTGCAGAGGACCTCTTTCAAGTTCTGAAGAGCAAAGATGTCTCTTTGAGGACTAAGGTGAGCCTGACAGAAGCTATGGTATTTTCAGTCGCCTCAGCCACTCCTTGGAAGGTTGGGCAATCTACTTCTGTAGTGATACTGCCTCGGAAACCCAAGGAGGAGTCACTGTGTGTCAGATCCGACTCCATGGCAGTGAGTTTCATATGCATGTGAGATCTGGACAGTGAATAAGGAAGACTGAAGATGAGTTGATGCTTTTGAGCTGTGGTGTTGGTGAAGAATGCTGAAAGTACTGTGGACTGCTAAAAGAATTAACAAATTTGTCCTGGAGGAAGTGCAGCTGGAATGCGTCTTGGAAGTGAGAATGGCCAGTCTTCATCTCATATATCTTGGTTATGTTGTCAGAAGAGACCATTCCCTGGAGAGGGATGCATGCTTGGTAAGGTGGAGGGTCGACAGAAGAGGAGAAGACCCTCAAGGAGATGGATTGACATGGTGGCAGCAGTGATGGGTTCAAGTATAGCAAGGATCATAGAGCTGGCGCAGGACCGGGTAGTGTTTCGTTCTTGTATACATAGGGTCACGATGAGTTGGAGATGATGGCACCTAATAACAACAACAACAACCTGAAATTAGGTGGTATGAGTTCTGTGAATTTTATTGCTTCTTTTTAAAAATTGTTTTGGCTGTTCTAGGACTTTTGCTTTTCCATGTAAATTTTAGAATTAACTTGTCAATTTCTGTTAAACAGCCTATTGGGATTTTGATTAGAATGTAATCCATAGAATTCATAGGTTAACTTGACGGGTATTGACATCTTAACAATACTGAGTCTTAAAACAATTAATTATGCTATATATTTCCATTTATTTGGGTCTTTAATTTCTGTTAGCAATGTTTTACATTTTTCATAGAGTCTTGTATATTTTTTGCTAAAAGTTTTCCTCAGTATTCTATATTTTTTGATGCTATTGTAAATGGATTTGAAAAAAAATTGTTGGTATTGCACAAAAATATCTTTTTCTTTGTAGACCTTGAATCTTACATCTTTACCAAAGTCATATATTAGTCATAGTAATTATTTTATAATTCCATTGGATTTTCTACACAATCATGATATTTGTTAATAAAGATATGTTAACTTTTAAATCTTTTAAAAATTTACTCAAAACAACAATGAGATACCATCTTGCTCCAGCACTAGTATCAAAGTTCAACAAGACAGAAAATAACAAGTGCTGGCGAGGTTGTGGAGAGATTGGGACTCTCATACACTGCTGGTGGGACTGTAAAATGGTACAACCATTGTGGAAAGCAGTATGGCGATTCCTTC